CTTATAACCTCAGACTGGTGTGTGTGTGTGTGTGTGGGTGTGGGTGTGGGTGTGGGTGTGTGGGTGTTGATATTAGAAGGTCTTAGGGGATCTTGGACCTGGGGAATAGGTGAAAAAAAGCACTCCCTGCCATCTATGCAGAGGTGATGGTATCAATGGGTGCAGAATATCACATAGACTGACTTAGTCTTATTCTTTGTTACAAGGAATGGCTCTCTAGGTAGTGAGGGGACATTTTATTTGCCAATGAAGGTGATATAAAAATACAATATATCAATTTAAATTAGAGGGTCAGGCCTAAAGTTCAATTTAATTCACTTTCAGAATCATTTATTAAGGACTTAGTGTAGGGATAGCCTAGTGTTGTATATCCTGGGAGACATATAAAGTTTAGACAAGACAGAATTCCTGGCCTCATGGAGCTTACACTCTGTTAGGGATGCATGACGTATATACAGTATTGCTTTTCATTACAGTTATTTGTGGATGAAAGGTACAAAGTGCAAAGTGAGATCCCAGTAAACTGCTAAATTTTTCACTTTTAAATGGATTGCTTGAGCATTGTCAGAATTTCATCTCTGTCACCAAAGAAGCAGTCCTGAAAGGAACACACACCTGAAGAAATTTAACGTTTAGCTTCGTTGTTGGGGAACTCCCAGAGGGCTAGGATGGTGGCTGATTGATACAGAAACAGACAGGACTTCTGAAGCCGTCTCGTGGGACTCTCATTCTTCAGATGAAGAAATTGGGCCCCAGGAAGATTAAGTGACTTGCCCAGAATCACACAGGTAGTCAGTAGGAGGGATGGGATTTGCATTCAGGTCCTCTGACTCCAAATCCAGGGCTTTCCCCACTAGATCATCCTGCAATCATATACTGTTGTACCTGCCAGGAGATTGTAAATTCCTAGAGAGCAGAGACCATACCTAGACTGCTTTTGAATCCTGTAAAGTGCCTTAGCATAGTGCTGAGCACCTGATAGGTAGTTAAATCAACACTTGCTGAATTGAATTGTTGGAGAGAAAAGGAGGTTAGATCATTTGGTAAAGAACTTTTACCTCCACTATGGGAGGGAGGGCGCCCAGACACTCATTTATATAGACCACTCATCATCCTAGTACTTCCTCCGATGAGGTTGGTATTGTTGGATTGCAGATTAAGTGATGATGGGAAGCCAATTGCCCAAATCTATTAGAATAATAGATAAGACTAACTAATGTTACAGCCAATCCCATTTCAAAGCTGTCTACACTTAATATTTTTAACCTCCCACTATGTACAATTGAGGGACAGTGTGGAATAATGAATAGAAAGCCAACCTCCCTTGAGGTCAGAAGATCTGGCTTCAAGATCTACTTTTGACAAGCTGGTTGTGTGGTCCTGGGCAAGTCACTTAACTTCCCAGTACTACAAAAGTCTGTGCTAATTTTAAGTTTTAATAGCTTTAAAATAGCAGTAAGACTTTTGGCATATCCTATATAGGTTACAAAGGTCAGCACCTTCTCTGCAACCTATATAATAGTGATTCCTCACCAGGGAGTTCCCAGTACCAGTGAAATTACAGGTCCTGTGCTTAGCTGGTCCTTAGCTCTCTCCCTGTGTTCAAGGTACTACACACAGAAAAAATGAAACAAAAAAGTCTCAAACGTCGAGGAGCTTACATTCTTATGAGAATGTAAGGTATAAGGTATTCCACAAGGTACATGATTCATAGCAAAAGGGGGCAAGGGCAAGAAGGAGATCCATATCAAATGCCACAAAAACTTTCAGGGGGAGAGCTCACTTTCAGCTCTGAGTTCAAGTGATTGGAGGGCAATGGCTGAGTTAGGATTTGAAGAAATAGATGCAGCAGATAGAGATATGCAAGGAATGTGCTCCAGGGATGAGGGTAGCCCAGGAGAATGTATGAAGGAAGAAGAGGCCAGGACTCTCCATACAGGCAGAAGAGAGCAAATGCCCCATGATGGCCTGGCAGTGATGGGACACAACTCCCTAGGCTGGAACCCAACTGTGGAAGGTCTTCCCTATAGGCTTAAGTGGAGTTATTCAACAGGCACTCTGCAGCTTCTGACAGCTTTTCAATAGGTGGGTCACAGAGATCTGAGCTTTAAAAATGGCTTTCCCCCCAAAAAGTATAGTACTTTAACAGAATGAGAAAAGCTGAGCCCCACTAATGTGATAACTAGACTCTAATTATTTCATGTGTAGGGAGAGAGAATGAAATGAGATTTAGATTAAATGATCTTTCGATGTGGAGGATATTGACAAATCTTTGTCAATGTATGTGGTTGGGGGAGAGGGGAAGTGGAGATTAGGGAAAGTTTGAGTGAATGAGGCCACATTTCAAATATCCCAGCCTTATCATAGACAGAAAAATGTTGCTGTGGCTCATTTTATACTGAGGGGCAGGAAGAATACTCAAGATCCAGTATAGTTCTGCCTTTTGGTAAGCTTATCCAAAATCAAGAAATCAAAACCATCAAATTCTTTCTCAGTTTGACTCCATCCTAAGGAGACAGCCTGGCACTTTGTCCAGGACTCAAAACATAGGCTTGTCTGTATCTCAAAACAAAGCACTATCCCCTTCCTCCTATAGTCCTTCTTCTCAAGTAAGAACATTGTACAAAGTAGAAAACACTTAATATAAGACGGACTATGTTGTTGACTTGTATTCAGCTTGTAGTCCATTAAAATCTCTAGATCTTTTTTAGATAAGCCTTGGCCTAGGCATTCATGCTTCACCCACCTCTTACTTAAGAACTGATGTTGACTGAATACAGACTGAAATGTACTATTTTTCACTTTCTTTTATTTTGGTTCGAGTCTTCTTTTACAAAATGTTTTATGAAACTTTTTATATGAAAATGTTTTACATGATTGCATGTGTATAACATGTGTTGGATTGCTTACTATCTCAGGGAAGGGGGAGGGAAAGGAGTGGGGGTTGAATTTGGAACTCAAAACTTTTTTTTTAAATGTCAAAAAATTGTTTTAACATGTAAGGGGGGGGGGAAGTAAATTTTTCTTTTAGAAAGAAGTTGATTTTTGTGAACCAAAGTATAAGTCTTTATATTCAAGGAGTTTCTAAGCCTACATTTCTGTTCATATCATATAAAAGGGTTAAGAAAAAAAGTATAAAACATGTGGATCATAGACTTCTAGATTAAAGTTAGATTCAAAGAAGGTAGATTAAAAAATCCCCCAATTTCACCATTCTTTGCTTTAGTTACCTTTTCTGTCAAATGGGAATAATAATGATAACTCCTCCCTGCACCCCACACTACCCCAACCCCATGTTACAGGTATGAAGATCAAATAAGATGGTGTGGCAGGTACTTTGTAAAGGAATTATAAGGCTTTAAAAAATGATTAGGTTATTTTCAAATGCAGCTATATTTCCAGAGACCTCTGATCTCTCCCCAAGTACCTAACTTCCTACAAGGGAGTGATTAGGAAGGAGGTAAAAATGGAAGCCCATTATTTACCTAGATGACATACACGATTGTGTTTCAGGTCCTGCCAGGAATCTAGAGGAGACTAAGTTGAACTCAGGTTAGCAGACTCTTGATCTTTGTTAGCTCAGATGAAGTATGGGATAGCCCCTCTAATTATGTTCAGTGTATAGAAAGGATCGACCTTTGCCGTGCCATCTCCTGTAAAGATTGTGTGGAAGAATTTACAAAATAAGAACTTCACTTCAGTGTTTACTTGGGGCTGAGCTGGTTTCCCTGGCAGACTAAAAGTTTGCCAATATTCTCTGCTAGCCTCCTAACATCTCTCTCCATCTGTGGGGTGTGTGTGTGTGTGTGTGTGTGTGTGTGTGTGTGTGTGTGTGTGTGTGTATGTGTGTGTGTTTTGTTCTGGAAAGAACATAAATATTATTAGATGGCGATTCAGTCATTGAACCTAAGTGACATCTCTGAGACAGCTTGAGCAGGGGAAATCAAGGAATTCTGGTCTCTCTAATGCAAAGCTGAAGGCTGTTTGAGGAAAATGTTTTTCTTCTCATGTGGTGAAATGTCAAGAAAAAAAAAAAGAAAGAAAAGATTGGCTGACAGGCCAAAATTTTTTGACGGCAATACTGAACCAACAGGAAATCCCTACTAGAATATTATACACATGTCCCCAGAATACTTTTCATCACATATGATCATTCTTAACAGGCTAAAGCCTCATTAATTTAGGTTCTATTATCAGACTTCACTTTGGAAAAAAGGGATTTGCTAAGCAATTGGAGGAAACAAGATTGGTGGTCTTATACAGATTGGGCATTTTCTATGCAACCTGCTTTCAAGCCTCTTAGAAACGCTCATTTACGTGTTAGCTGGAATGCTAATTGACTCAAGGGAAGGGGATCTGTTTTAACTCCTCCTCTAAGTAGTTCTCATCAGTTCTCTAATCTTCTCCTGTTAGTCTAGTCTTCTTAAGGATGCCTTAAGCTGTTTGAGCAAAGGAACCCTGTTTTCTTCTCTTTTGTCCCTCACATCTGTCTTTGTCTGTCTGTCTGTTCTGTAATATCTTTGGAAAGCATTACCTGACTTTTCCCTACTTTGGTAGCTATTAATGAATAGTTATTTCAATGCTTCACTGGATACAGGCTCTCTCAAATAAGATAATAATGTATGTAAAGCTCTTTGCAAATGCTACAGTACTTTGCAAAATTTCAAGTGCTATACTGATGTCAGTTATTATGTCGTCAATGTGAGAACTCTCTTCAAGAGACCACACTGAAACCTGTTCAAATTTTCTCATCTCTTAGGATGCTTGTTCTTTGTGTCTCCTAGAAATACACTTAGGGCTCTACAGCATCCTGGGGGCCTTTTTTAAAGTCTTAACTTCTTATGGATATCAGTACAGCCCTTGGGCAATCCATTTGTTCTCTTTCCTACTTCATACATCATTTTGCCTGCCTACCTCCTTTTCTGAACAGACTTTTCCTTGATGATGACTTTCACATGTTTTTCTTTGTCTAAAGTTGTTTTGATACTTTTGTTTTCTAGAATGTCAAAGTACCTGGGGCAACCACTTCTTCATTACTTTCCAGGTTCCACTCCTGAGCCCCTTTATCCTAGAAGCTCACTCCACCCCTGGAATTCTAACAACAGGAGGATTGGCCACCCCTGTGACTTTTACTTTGATTTGCTGATTCCTCTCAGAATCTCCATTTTAAGGAAAGTGCCAGGCTCTGCTCCTAATTTTCAGAACTTTCTCTGCCATGTTGTCCCCGTATGGCATTCCCTTTCTTTTCCTCCCCAACACCCTGTCCTTTTTCAGCTTCTCTGTATGTGTTGTTTCCCCCATCAGAATGTAAGCCCCTTGAGGACAAGGACTGTCCTTCTTTCTGCTGATATTTGTATACCCAACTCTTAGACCTGTGTCTTCCATGTAGTAAGCCTTAATAAATGCTTGTTGATTCAACTTGACTACTGCAATCTTTTCTTGATAAACTTATCTCATAGAACCTTTCATTGTGATAATGAGAAAATGAGTTAAATTAAACCCATCAGTATAACAACAAGATCTTAATTACACATGTATGAGCTGACAACAAACAGCCCACTGACCTACTTGCTTACCAGTGCTAAGTTGGATGTCTGATAATATAGGCAATATGTCATACCCATTGTCCCCCTACTCTCTAGCAAGAGAAGGGATGACAACTTTTAAACCTTTTGCACACAAAACTTTCTTGGTAATATGCTTTAGTATGTTTGTTCTCACCATGGATCTTTCCATTGTCCTCTGGGTCACCCACAACTGAGATTCTTCAGAGATTCTGGTGTTCCATGAATCTCAGCTATAGAATTACTAGAATACTGGTTTTTTAAAAGTTGAGATGTATTTTGGAGTAGCTTTGAATCATTGAAGGCATTTTTCAATTTCCCAGATGTAATCCAACACAAATTCTCTTCCTCTTATCTAATTCTGGACCCAGCTGATTTCCCATCTTCGGTGGTTGCCTATGGATAACATATTGGGGTGGGTCCTCATCTATTTGTTTCTTCCTGTGTGAATTGTTAAGTGATCAAGTGATTAAGGAAATATTTGAGGTTTTGTAGTATTCTGGATAGTCAACTCCTCTGAGGATACACAACTATTGCTAAGTCAGGATTGTGAAGATCAAATGAAATGACTTGGCAGGTACTTTGTTTTTGGGTTGGGTTTTTTTTTTTTTTGGCGTTTTATGTGTTTATTTGTTTTTTTTTTTCCATATGCTTTTGAGTTGAAAATTTTTCTCCCTTTTTCTCCCCCCCTCCTCCTCAAGACGGCACACAATCTGACATAGGCTTTACATTTACATACCCATTAAACATATTTTCACATTAGTGAAGTTGTAAGTAAAAATTAAAACCAGTAGGAGGAACCATCATAAAGGTGAAACAAAACTCAATAGAAGGTAAAAGTAAGTGAGAGCGATTCGACTTCCATAGTTCTTTCTTTGGATGTGGACAGCATTTTCCATCCGGAGGCCTCTGGAGATATCTTAGATCCTTGTAGTGCTGAGAAGGGTTCAGTTTAACATTCTTAGTCATTGCATAATGTGGCTGCTATTGTGTACAAAGTCCTCTTGGTTCTGCTCACTTCACTCAGCATCAGACCATATAAGTCTTTCCAGGTTTTTCTGAAGTCAGCCTGTTCATCATTTCTTATAGCACAATAGTATTCCATTACATTCATATACCACAACTTGCTCAGCCATTCCCCAATTGATGGGTATCCTCTCAATTTCTTGGCAGGTACTTTGTAAAGGAATTATAAGGTTTTTAAAAATATGTATTAGGTTATTTTCAAATGTAGCTATATTTCCAGAGACCCTGATCTGTCCCTAAGTACCTAACCTCCTACAAGGGAATCATTAGGCAGGAGGTAAATTATATAATATGATGTGTTTCAGGTACTGCCATGGAATCAAGGGGAGACTAAGTTGAACTCAGGTTAGCAGACTCTTGATCTCTATTAGCCTTGATAAAATATGGGATAGCCCCTCTAATTATATTCAGTGCTACTGCCTATAAAGATTGTATGGACAAATTTACAAAATAAGAGCTTTGCTTCAGTTTTTACTTGGGGCTTCTGTTTTTACCAGATGAATTGATTCAGAGCTACAAAATTCACCTTCATTGATGACACACTCCAAGGAGGAAGTCCTAAACTCTTGTTTCATTTTTTTTCTTTTGTTAGGGACCCGGATCTCTCTGGGTCACAAATCACTGTCATTTTCCTCTATCAACCTCCAAAGATCTGATGTAAAAAATTTATGATACTGGGCAGCTGCATCTCAGGTATAGGTAGGTAGTACTGCCCATTACCTTTTATTGGTTGTCATATGTTAATGAATTATTGTCTGACCAAATCTAAAATTGGGTTCTATTCACATAATTTAAAAACTCTAATGGCAGGCTAATATTTTAAGGCCCAAAGTCATTGTCCTTTGGCACAAAAATGCCTTTCCCCAAGCCCTTTAAGCTGGTGTTGGCAAGTAACACAAAGGGCTTACTTGGATTGGTAAAAGCCAACAGTGGGCTGTAAATGATGCAGTTTAGGCTGGGGTTCCAGAGAGAGAGGATTTCACTGAAACCTGTCATGCATAGAACCATTATTTATAAGTCTTTCTCATCTTTTACTTAAGTAGGCTCAGAACTACCTCTACTATTTGGCAGTGATTTGAAGAATAACAAGTTAATACCTCCTTGATGTAGGTACTCCCTCCAATGGTACATGTCACAGACCGTCCTTGTCCACTCATCCTATGTGATTGCTGTTTATGTGCTTCCATCTGTCCTCCACATTTAAAGTGTCAGATTTCGTGGTAATCAATGAAATTTAAAGGTATAGAACTCCATTTTTTAAAAAGTATTTTATAAGTTCTACTTTTCTCAAATACAGACTGGTCTTCCAAATTGGCCCAGATCCGTGAGGTTTTTATTGGATTGGAGGGGAAGGAATGACCTCCTACCATATGTATAGTCTGGCCAGTCTTAAAGGCCCTCAGCTAGCTGGCTTGTGAGAGGTGAGGGAGGATGCTGAGTTGGTGCCTCCAGCCTTTACAACTTGCAGCAGAACAATGATCCCTTTTGTCCAGTCTGGCTTTTGCTTGACTGGTTTTGCCCTGCATTCCACCCGTTTCTGTCCTTCCCCATTGCATGATTCCCCTGTGATCTCCAAAGCTAGCTTCTCTCCTTTCCCTGGCATGCTGCTTTTCTTGGTGATTTCTGACCCAATTTCACCCAGATCTACATTTCTCTTTATTGCTTCTCCTTCCCTCCCCTCTCCTCACCCCTGACTTCAAGGCAGGATTCCCGTAGATCTTCCTACACCCGGCAAACACACAAATAGACAGAGATACACACGCCGCCATTTTTCTATGTGACCTAGAATCCCTTCCACAAGGTTTTCCTATCTCTCAGGCTATGTCATAACATATTAAGTGTCCAGCTCTGTGTTGTGATTTGAGGGGTGACTGGAAAGCCCCTGTGTTCACAAATCTTCAAATATTCATTCTTTCTTTGAACATATTTTGATTGATTTAACTTATATGACCCAAGTCCCAGAAACCAAGGTTCAATCAATCAATTAATGAGCCAACATTTATTAAGCACCTACAAGGTACTGGTTCTGTGCTCAGTTTGATTTAGAAGAAAGACAACAATAAAGTCTTCATCTTTAATGAACTTACATTCTGTCTGGGGAAACAACACATAAACACAAATAAATTCAAAATATATATACAGAAGAATTACAAAGTAATTTTTAGGGGATAAGGCACAGCCTTAAAAGTAAGGATGAGCAAAGGTTCCATGTAGAAAGTAACAAATGAGTTAATCTTTTAAAGAAGCTAGGGATTCTAAGATATGGAGGTGACAAGAAAATGTATTCCAGGCATAGAGGTCAGCCAATGGAAAGGCATGGAATGGGGAGAACATTGTGTCTGAAGAACAGAAAGTAGGCTTTAGAATCCATGAAGGGAAAGAAAAAACCTGGGAAAATAGGCTACAACCAGATCAATCAATCAATCAATCAGTCAATCAAGCAATCAATAAACATTTATTAAGTGACTACTATATGCCAGGTACTGTACTAAGCACTGGGGATAGAAAAGGAGGCAAAAAAAAAGTCCCTGTTCTCAAGGAGCTTACAATCTAATGGGGGAGAAAATATGCAAAATATACACAAAAAAGCTATATAGAGAATAAATAGATAATTAATAGAGGGAAGGCATTGACTTAAGAGGGGTTGGAGAAAGCCTCCGTAGAAGGTGTGATTTTAGTTGGGCCAGGGAGGTCAGTAGTTGGAGTGGATGAAGGAGAGCGTTCTGGGCATGGAGACAGTCAGAGATAATGCCTAGAGCTGAGAGATACAGTATCTTGTTTGTGGAGCAGCCAGCAATACAGTGTTGTTGCTGGATCAAAGAGTATGTGTTCAGGAGTAAGGTATAAAAAGACTGGAAAGGTAGGAGGGGGCTAGTTGTCAGGGGCTTTGAAAGCCAAGTAGAGCATTTTGTATTTGCTCCTGGAAGCAACAGGAAGCCACTGGAGTTTATTGAGTGGGAGTGGGGGTGGTGGGTGGGGAAGGGGGTGTTTGATGTGATCAGACCTTTGATTTAGGAAGATTACTTTAGTGGCTGAATGAAGGATGGATTGGAGTGGGGAGACTTGAGGCCTACAACCCACCAGTAACCTACGGAAGTACTCCAGATGTGAGGAGATAGGGGTCTACATTAGAGTGGTGGCAGTGTCAGAGGAGAGAAAGGTGTATTGAGAGATGTTGCAAAGGTGAAACAGCTCACAGTAGGGGTTGGGAGAGAGTGAAGAATCCAGGATCTCTCCTAGGTTGTGACTGGTGTTGCCCTCTAGAGTCATAGGGAAGGTAAGAGTGGGGCAGAATTTGGGGAAAAGATAAGGAATTACGTTTTGGACATATTCAATTTAAGATGTCTACCAGACATCCAGTTTGAGATGCCTGAGAAGTAGTTGGAAATGCAAGACTGGTCGGGAGAGAATCATCAGCAGAGAGAAGGTAATTAAGTTCATGGGAGCTGATGAGATCACCAAGTGAAGAAATACAAAGGGAGGGAGAAAAGGAGAGAGCCCAGGACTGACGCCTGAGGGACACCTATGGTTCAGAGGTCGTGATCTGGAGCTGGATCCAGCAAAGGAGACAAAGAGTGGTCAGATATATAGGAGAACCAGGAGAGAACCTAGAAAGAAGAGAGAATCACAGAGGAGAGAGTGATCAATAGTGGCAAAGGCTGAAGAGACGTCAAGGAGAATTAGGACCAGGAAAAAAAAAAGCCATTGAATTTGGCAGCCAACAGATCATTAGTAACTTTTTTAGAGAGCAGTTTTAGTAAGGTTGGAAGCTGGATTGTAAGGGGTTAAGAAGAGTGAGAGGAGAGAAAGTGAAGGCACCTATTGTAT